CAGCCTGGGGGTGGAGTTGGGGCAGGGCAGCTGCATGCCAGCCACCCCGATGGCATGGCGTGTGGTGTCAGGATGCCCTTTTGGCACAGTGTGCGCACATGCTGTGCCAAAAGGGTGCAAAAAAGCCACCACAGCAGCTGAAAGGGTGTCCTTTTGCTGCCCCTAAAAGGAGCGGCATTTTGCTGCTCTTTTGGGGGTGGCAAAAAGGAGGATCTGGGCCACAGCGTGTGGTTGCCGTGGCCCCGATCCACCACTCCCAGTACTGTTATTTACTTTTAACTGCTTTTAGTTCTATTGTTAATTTAATTTTATCTTAAACTTTTGTCCGGTGTGCTTTTTTTTTTTAGCTGTCTTTTAAAATATTAGTGTCCTTGACTCCCAGACAAGGAAAAAGGTGGGCTCATCATCTTCCTTATCATGGCAGTCATCAATACCATCATAATCATTGTCATCCTCACTTGAAGCTGCCTGCAGAAGTTAAAATATGAGGCTGGATGAAGTATAATAGAAGCCTAATCTGAGGCTTTTTTATGATAGGGAAAACTGGTGAAGCTTGGCCAAAAGACTAGTTCTTTCCTCATGGGAACAGGTAGATCACAAGAAAATGTAGGAACATGAGGTTTTGCTGTATGCTATCACATTATCTGAGAAACAGTTCTCCAAATTCTCCAAGAAAGCAAAATGTCCCCAGTATAAAGTGGCTTTCCCCTGAATTTTGGCAATCATAATAAATTACTTTACTAAAGGTATAACTAGATTGCATTGCAGTTGTAAGAACTGACCTGTCAAAGCAATAAAACAATAAATAGTAATGAATTAGCTCAGAGTGTCTGAGTGGAGAAAAACCAAATAGTCAATGGCATGACAAACATAAAATGGTGGGGAGCAATGGGAGGTAGAGAAAGTGCACTAAAAAAAGGAAGAGCCAAGAAGGAAGTAAAAGTAAGGATGAATGCCATTGACAGGATGGTATGGCAGGTGTGCAGAGATGAGTGGGCCAGAAAGCCAAGGACAGTAGTGACTGGTGGCTTTCAATACAGAATGATGACTCCACTCTGGATTTTAGTCCAACCTTTGAGGATTTATCCAAAGTCTTGAACATATTTTGGGGTTAGGGGTCAACTTCTTGATGGCTTATTTCAAGTTCACACCAAGACTTGGAGCAGATTCACCCAGCTACCCAATACACATGGAAGCTACCAATCACAACTGGCCAAGAGGCATAGGATTGTTGAGTCTTTAGACACTAACATTGTGCCTGTAACTGACACAAGTAATGATATCACAAGATGACTGCATGGACATAACAAGTTACAAATGATTTCATTACCTGTAAATAATTAGTTTGGGGTAATGAGTGTTTAATCAAGTTAATTTAAAAAAGAAAATAATTAGTAAGAATGAGGTTACATTATTGGTGTTACTAGCAATAGTTTCTAATTTATTCTTAATAACTACTTTAAAACCCTGTTCTGAGGCATTTTTATAAGAATTCTCCAAGTCTTACGACTTTTGCTTATTAGTCCTAAGGGATTTTCTCTTTAAAAAATCATAACAGAGGCTAATGAACAAGTAATGGCCACCACAATCTATAACATACTAACTTACTTTTCAACCATGTATATTTGTCGATAGGTTGCTTTCCAATTACTGTAACAATTAACAGGAATGAATTATTTTTAAATAGTAACTTCCAAGTAATGTGCAACTTTGTAACATGTCAAGCTGAAAAGGGTATTGAGGCCATAGGAAATGAACTGAATTTATATATTCTTTGCATTTTAAAAAATTCCTGGTTCCATGCATCTCAAAAATTTCATTGCAACTGCTTGAAATACTATGTGCTGAATTTTAGTACAGACACAATGTGGGTTGCACCCATCTACCAACTCAGGAAATACATGCACACAAAATTAAAAGAAGAGGCCAGAGTTCTCTCTTCTCCTACCAATGATCAAAGTTTCATTGAGAAGAAACTTCTGTTAGAAGGCTGAGCCATGTAAGACTAGACAATTTTGCTCTGCTGTTTGGTTATAATATTGTTGTTGCTGTTTGTTGTTGTTGTGTGTCTTCAAATAATTTCTGACTTATGATGACCCTAAGGCAAACCTATCACAGGGTTTTCTTAGCAAGATTTATTCAGAGGAGGTTTGTCATTGCTTTCCCACAGGCAAAGAGAATGTGACTTGCCCAAAGTCACTCAGTAGGTTTCATGGCTGAATGGGGAATTGAACCCTGATCTCCAGAGTCAAACCACTATGCCATGTTGGCTGGTATAGCAAATTTTTGTCCTTCGGCTGCTGCTGCTGAGACAAACATAATTTTTCTATGTATATGCACCATATTGTGTGACTAGAACGTGTAACAAAACAAGATATATGTGAATCAGAGGCAAATTTCTGACTTGGTTCATCAATGTGATGCATATGAATTAATGACACAACCTATCTATGGAGTTTATCACACGGGGGAAATCCCATGCAGAAATGGGGTTTTAAATTAGAAAAAAAAACGCAAAAGTGATTAGTTTTTCAGACAACGTCGCTGTTAAAATGGGTTAACCCAAAGGGAAAGTAGTCAGAAACTGCTTCTTTTTACTTTCGGAAAATCCCAAAAGTAAAAAGAAGTAGTTTCTGACTACTTTCCGTTTGGGTTAACCCTATTTTAACAGCAATGTGTGTGAAAAACAAACCGCTTTTGCGGGTTTCCCCCACCTTTTCAATCCTGTTTCTGCATGGGATTTCCCCCATGTGATAAACTCCTGAGAATTTTTGCAAATGGAAATTCAGTTTCTGTGTGGATTTATAGTAGATCCTGATGATAATTATGCATGCTTTTGACTATCCATCAAGGTTAGTCACTTGCCCACTTTCACAGACACACAAAAGTATAGTTCTTTGTTTATAATTTTGAGGAATTAACAATATTGAGTGCTACATGTTTTGATGCATATTAGGAGTTTTTTCAAGTCCTTAACAAAAACCTGGATGCCATTGTTGCATTTTGATGAGGATAACCTATTTTCGAGGCACAATAGTTGCTGCTTGATGGGTATTTTTCATTTAATGTTTATATTAGAGCAACCTTGGATTACAAGTAAACCTACCTCTCACAGTTTTAAAACTATGAGGAAAGATAAGCCAAGCCCATTTCCTCCTGATTTAAAGAAAGAGGGAGAGACTGGCATTTTTAAAAAATTCAGGAAACCTTGGGAAACAATTTAAAATAGCCTGGACCTGCTGATATGTCCAATACTCTGAAAATTTATTTCCAGTTCTTTCCTTCATGTTCTCTTCTTAAACCTGTCTTAGCAAAAGACTGGCAACATTCTGTCAATATCTTGCATATTGACTATGTCTACTCAGTACCCAGTTTTAATATTTGATACTTTTTTATTAATAAAATAATTTCCCCAGCGCTGGTGCTAAGGTATTATGCGGCTATTTCATTGGTATTTATACTACTGTTTCAATAGTATTTAAGATTTTTGTACTGTGTCTAATAATAATATAATCAAAGGCAAGCTCTTCAGTGTCATTTCAGACCTCTTTCGTATCTTTGTGCTTTTGCTTTTACTTAGGCTCATTTGTATGAACACATCATCTTCTGTGTACATGTGTGGCGATGATTAAACCCATGTGCAAAATTATAGTGTTTTGTTTGCTACACAAGCACTGAGAGAGCCAAACTCAGTCAATTCTAAGTGACACAAAAATACATTCTTAAATCTGCTTGGCATTAAAAAAAACTGATATGCTTAACTTAACTCAGTGGAGTCTACTTCTCAGTTTGCTTGTTTATGATTACCTTGTAAGATGTCAGTGAGTTAGATGAGATACATGAAAACTTCAAGACAGAATAATCCCTTATCACCCTTCAGGGAAAGCAGTGGAGAAACTGCCAAATAACAAGCCATTCCAGACTTACACTGGCACAGAAGTCAGAGCAAAAATCTGTATGCCAACTTCAGGGCATGTGTGCTTCTATTCTGGAGGGATGGGAATGGAATGTTGTGCAGAATGGAAGTGTTTTGTATGCAGGAGATCCAAAGCCTCCACAGATCTTCTTGAAATACCAGAAGTGGACCACCTGCAGACTTCACTGTCCATTGTTCTGCCCCTGCCTCACAGGGTAGTGATGGTTGCTCTGTCTTGGAAGCCAGCCAAGGGCAAAGTACTAAGCAAAATCACTTACAGACAGACCCAGCCATGTACAGAAGCTTACCAACCAGTTACAGTTCTCAGAGTCAGGCACTCCAAGTTAGTAGGGTACAGCAAGAAAACCAATGCATCAGTCCAAGGAAGTGTCCATCAGCATAGTCAATTTATGATGCAAGGTCCAAGTTTCTTCAGAAACAAGAGCTAGGAATCAAGAGATAAGAGTGTTACTTCTTCCTGAATGGTCAGTTGTCAGCAGTGACCTCCTGTGGGATTTGCTGGATTATTTATGGCCTGGCAGCCTCTTTCAGCTGTTGCCTGATTAATGAGCATTTCCTATATAAACACTCTGATCATCTCAAACCCTCACTCTCACATCTGTGTCCCATTACAGTAGGTATTAATGAATCTGTGTCTGTATGTTGTGGCTGCTGGGGAGTGTCACTGTCTGTCTCAAGCACTGGCATGTCCCCCTCTCCTTCTGCTTCACTGTCTGTGTCACAGTCTAAACTCAGCATGACAGTTTTTGTTGTTGTATGCCTTCAAGTCATTTCTGCCTTATGGCAAGCCTAAGACAAATCTATTACAGGATTTCCTCAGCAAAATTTGTTCAGAAGAGGTTTACCATTTTCCTTCTTTTAACCTGGCCCAAGGTCACCCAGAAGGCTTCCATGTCTAAGTGTGGATTTGAACGCTAGTCACCTGGAGTCCTAGTCCAACACTCAAACCACTGTCCCACTCTGACTCTTGAATCATAAGGTTACAGCTCTCAATTGTCAAAATGTTAATGTTCTAACCAAAACAAGTACCCAATGACAGCTGGAGGAGTGGTGAATCTGCTCTGGGTTTCAGCCTGAATTTTTAAGGGGCTGCCCAAAGTGATGAATAAATCTAACTGTGGCATAGGGTTCAGCACTTGGAATAAAGCCTGAAGCTGATTCACCAACCCAAGGGCATAGAAGTCACTAGCCACCACAGCTAAAGTACTTTTCTTACCTGAAAAGTAGTAAACACCATTCCAATTTTTATAAAAGAGTGCAAAGGAGATCCATAGTTTTAAGTCTTAATCCTTGTCTGTCGTAAATTGGGGAAATCATGATTAAAGCTAAAAAGATTAAATGTACTAAAGAACAAGTTTTAACCTACAGTTCTGTGCATATTTATTATCTGAGAGTAAATTCCAATTAAGAATGTTAATCTTATCTCTGATTAAACACACTTAGGATTTTGCTGTTAGTGAGAATGAATCAGTATGACTCCTTTTAACAGGTTTTTGGAATTCTTTGAAAGTATCAAAAGCATGACCTGGGCATGATCTGGTACTGTGATTTCCTAATAGCTTTTGGCAAAAACTCCTCACCAAAAGCTCCTTAAGCATTAGAGGTCAATGTATAAAGAGAAGAGACCCCTTTTATGGATCAATAGTTTGTTCAAGAAGCAAATGGCTGAAATAAATGGGAATGAAAGAAATCACACAGTGATGTTGCCCAAGGATCTTTTATTGATAGCAGATAGCAGTTTAATAAATGATGCAATGTAAAGTCTGGTCCTCCTAAGAGAGATCACATCACATTATTCAAACTGTAGAGAGCTCTAAGAGGAACTCTCCAAACTGGGTGAAGAGGCAACAAAATCATAAAGTAAGCACAATGTAAATAAATGAAACTTTATGCACATTTGGTTTTTTTTTAAAAAAAAACTCATATATGAGGTCTGAACACACTAGATGACTAATTGGAAAAGAGATCTTGGAGTTTTGTAGGATCACTTAATGAAAACACCAACTCATTAGGTGGTGACAGTGAAAGCAAATATCCTTGAGCAGATAAAGCCAGCAATCTCCCTGGAAGTCAAGATGATCAAATTGAAGCTGTCATACTTTGGCCACTTTATGAGAAGCCAAGAAAATTATAGAAAAGACAATGATGTAGGAAAGGTAGAGGGTAGTAGAAAGAGAGGAAGACTGCACACCAGATGATAGACTGAATCAGGAAGACACAAATCTGAAATTACAGGACCTAAGCAGAGCAGTGGAGGATAAAGGATCTTGGAGATATCTCATCTACAGGACTGCCATGAGTCAGGGTTGACTTGAGGGCAGTTAACAACAAACAACGGTGAAAAGAGCAAATTCTGTATCAGGATTGATCAAGAAATAATCTGAATATAAAATGGCAAATAACATAGTATCTTGTTTGTGTAAATCTGTATGTTCAGCACATTTTGATTATTGTGTACAATTCTAGTTATTTTATCTCAAAAACAGGATGACCAGCTTTTTCAAACTGGTCTAAAGAAGTGAGAATTCTCACAGTATAGTAATTTTGTTGGGTTTTGTCAGGATTTGCCAGTCTTTGCCACCACCATGTCTGCTTGTTCCATTCTTCTGGTGGGCTGTTTTTAGCCATTTCTTGCATCAGCACTGCAGTTCTTCCAAAGGTGTTGTTGTTGTTGTTGTTGTTGTTGTTGTTGTTGTTGTTGTCTTTTGGAAAAACCATGGTGTGATTTAAACCAGCTGAGATATTCTGATCAATTTTTCTCATTCCCTTTTTTGGAAAAAATAGAGTTGTAGGATTCTAGAGCAAAAGTGTCATTTCAATGATACACTGATGTACAACCTTTTTTTCTTTTTAAAGAAAGGAATGGAAGAGAAAAGGTTTTTTGGAAGTAAAATGTTATGGAAAGTTTTCCCCTGGAACACATGGCTGTATAGTGACTGGTGATAAGTATGAGGATGAAGCAGCTACTTTTTCACAAAATAAATAATTAACATAGGATTCAGTGCCACAAGTTTTGGCACTGACTTGCTTATCTCTCTATCTATCTGATAGTTCAGATTTGTATATCACCAGAATTAATGATAAATGCAGCAGTCCCATAGCATCACTCTCATAATAGTAAATTACAAATAATGAAAAATGATTTAAAATTAAGATTATCATGTGCATAGCTGGATCACAGTTCAGATTAAGTGTGAATTTAAAAGTATCTCTTAAAGCAGGCACATAAATGTAAAACATATTGGCATGCGCTTAATATACACCTGAATAATTATCATCCATTCTATAACATTTCATTTTGGGGCAAAGTATTGGAACTTGTGGTGGCCTCAGTTCCAAGTCTTTCTGGATGAGATGGATTATCTAGATCCATTTCAATCTAACTTCAAGCCTGGATATGGGATGGAGACAGCTTTGGTTGCCTTGGTGGATGACTTACGCAGGGAACTGGATAGGGGGACTGTGTACCTGTTGGTTCTCCTGGACCTTGATACCACTGACATAGTATCCTTCTGGCCTCTCTGGGATGGGATTTGGGGCAGCATTGTGTAGTAGTTCCAGTCTTTCTTGGAGAGGCAAACGCCAAAGGTGGTGCTGGGGGAATCCTGCTTGCCTCTCTGGCTATTGGCCTGTGGGGTTCCTCTGAGTTTTGTTTTATGCCCCTTGCTGTTTAACATCTACATCAAACCACTGGGAAACTTCATCCAGAGTTCTGAGGTTCAGTGTCACCAGTATACTGATGACCCCCAACTCAGTCTCTCCTTTCCCTCCAATTTCAGGGTAGCTATCTCAGTACTGATCCAATATCTGTTGTCAGTAATGGAGTAGATGAATTTAATATGGTTTCTCCCTTGAATGGTTCCCTAAGAGTATAAAAACTTCTTTGGTTTTAGTATGCAGAGAGATCTTGTAGCACCTTTGAGACTAACTGAAAGAAAGAAGTTGGCAGCATGAGCTTTTGTAGACTTCATTCTACTTCCTCATGCTCATGCTGCCAGCTTTTTTCTTTCAGTTAGTCTCAAAGGTGCTACAAGATCTCTCTACATACTGATTCCACAGACTAACATGGCTATATCTTTGAATTCTTTGGGTTTAGTTATTTATATTTCTTAATGGCAATTTCTTTCATGGGTGAGTGGAGATTCTTTCAAAAGTAGATGGTAACTTTATGAGTAAAGACACTGTTAACAAAGATTTCAATAATCATTGAATCAGAAAGGCATTATTGAAGACATGGAATGTAGTCAAAAAGAAATTTTATTAAGGTATACCCTCCTGGATCTCCACACAAGAGATGTTATATGGAAGATGGGAAGAAACTAAGGACTGGATTAGATATATTGACTTGATAAAAAAAGAAAACAATGGCAAAGTGGAACTGAGATCTAGAGAAGAGTTAAAGGACAATGGTAAAAATGTACAAGTGGTTTGGATACATGCAAGTTAAACAGAAGTTTAAAGAGGATTTATATAAGGATGGTTTGAAACTCGATAAATTATTCTGGGAAAAAGATAAAGGAAAAGTATCCAAATTATATAGAATATTATTGAAGAGGGAATTAGAGCAGGAGACAGTGACAACTTATATGATCAAAAGGGTTCAGGAGATAGGACATGAAATAGTGTTGGAAAATTGGGAAAATGCATGGAAAAATCCAGTAAATTTATGGCATTGCAAGATCTTAGAGAAAATTACATAAAGACTGTCAACAGATGGTATTATACACCAATGAAAATACCCAAAACATATAAATTAGGACACAGTAAATGTTGGAAATGTCAAAAGGAGAAGGGCTCTTACTACCATATGTGGTGGTCCTGCCCTAGAATTAAGAAATTTTGGTTTAAAATACATTAAAACATACAGGAAATGTTGGAAATAAATTAGCCCTTAATACCAGAAATATATTTATTAAATATGACCTCTTTTTGGGGTATAGAAACAGAAAAAAATACTGGAGAATAATTATTTAGTTAGTTACAGCTGCCAGATTATTGCTGGCAAATAATGTAGAGGAGTGGTTTCAGAAGATTATGGAAGTAAGAGAGATGGCTACTTTAACAGCATTGATTAGCAAAAAATCAACACATAAAACAGAAAAGGAAGGGGAACCAATTAAAAAATATTGGACCAGGGTCTGGAATATAAAAGAAGAGCTGTTATAGAAATCATAAGGCAATTTGAACTGCAAAAGGAGATGTTCAAGATGAGAAGAGAAAAGGATGAAGGAATGGGTAAACAGTATAAGAGGAGATACCAAATTGCAAGGCAAGAATAATTATTGTCATTATTTATTATAATATAAATAGTGTAAATGTAGAATACAAAGAAAATCAAAATACATAATAATTTGGATAGTATTGGTACCCCGACAATAAGGTAATACTTACTATAACAATTATAGAATATCATAACTTTGGTGGAAAGTATAGAGTAAATGTTGATGTTAAGGTTATAGCAGAAATTTTTTTATGGTATGTACAGATGAAGATTGTAGTATTACATTCTGGAATGTATTTTGTTTTTAAATTTTAAAAGTAGATGGTGACGTAAGAATAGTATGGGAAAGGAGACAGTTTGCCCATTTTTCATGTTACTGTTACTTCTCCAGCTATGGAATTGAAATCTCAATGAACATAAAGTTCTTGCCGTAATGCTCTCCGTTTTCAGGGTACAGAGGTTATGTTGGCTGAAATGTGTAAGAGAAAAATAAAGGATCCTGACTGTCTGTTGATTACATACTGATTTACTCTTGCTAAGATCGCAAAGAGGAAATTTGCAGTTCCTGTAAGTGACTTAGGGTTTGTCTAAGGGGAAAATAAGATGATATCTCAGCTCTGGAGGGGCACTTGAGGTCTTGTTTGCTCAGTCAAGAGTTTGGGACAGTTGCTGAAGTTGCTGTTTTGATATTATCCAACTTTCCTTCTGTTGCAACCTGAACCCATGGAAGCAAACTGCAAGAAC